GGGGAGGCAGCCGACGGCAAAACAGGCATTTTTTAGGCACGCTCTTCTCCAGCAGCCCCCCTCGTGAACAGTCACCTTCTTCCTTTTATCACATCCCTATTCTCAAACTGTGTAGACTAGACGTGTCGTTTTCCTCCCCCTCCGCGAGTCTCGTTGCTCTCGGTGGCCACACTGGGCGCGAGCGAGCAAGGCCAAGCCTTCAGCGCTCCAGGAACCACGCAGGAAGTTGTCAGCAACACCAGGCCCTCGGCAAAGCTCTTTTGTTTTCCTACACTTGTTTTTCAGATCTCCTTCCCTTTGCGGCGGGTTCTCTTCCAGTTGTGGGATTTTGCCGTCGCGTGTTCAGAAACGCGGGTTGCAAGCTTTAGCAACCCATGGCTTTCGGTCGCTTCATCGGCCACGTCCCTCATGCTGCGTTCTTCTTTATCTTTTCAAGCCATGTTTCTAGTCCTGATGAATTTTTTTTTTAATGTTGAGCTTTCTTAGGAAGGGACCGAGGGCCTCTCTTGCTTCCTGTTGTGACCTCGGCGCTGGGGGAGGCCATTCTGAACACCCCCACTTGGGAATTAGGCCAGTCAGCCCCAAAGGCCTTTGCATCACAGTAACAACACTTTGAGAAGTCGCTTCTCAAAAGTCACGGCGGTCACAAAACGACATCTCCTACCCCGACTCCCCCACCTCTTTTCACCTTCCTTGATTTACCCATAGAAGGCAAAACCGTAGAGGGAAGCCTTGTTTTCTGAAACCTTCTGTCTCTTTCCTCCCGGTCTGCAGGCCTCCTTGGATAAAATGTCGAAGGGTCACATGCTCGCAGACGTGGTGGCCATCATTGGTAAGTCTCGGTGTTTCTCCTCCTGTTTCCTGGGGAAACCAATTTAATTTAATTTAATTTAATAATTGATTCAGGCGCCTCCCGACTCGACTCTGGGAGGCTCACAGTATAAGAAAAAGAATAAAATGCAGTACGATCCAGTAACAAACCAGCCACAAAGAAATTAAAAAGCACGTCCAGAACAAGACGGCGAATCCATTTAGCCACCAAACGCATGGGGAGCTCCAAGCACCCTGGCCCAAGGTCCTGGAGAAGACCCTCCAGGACGCTATCAGGGTGGGAGCCCCCCAGATCTCCGTGGAAGCCACCTCATTCCAGAGGGCAGGCAACGCAACGGGGAAGGGGGATCTCCTGGGTCATGAAAGAGGACGCTGTTTAATTGAAGGCACCCGAAGCGCGCTGACCCTGTCCGCTTGTATCGGCCGAGGAGGCACCCCGGGAGATAGACAGTCCCTCCCCTAAGATCAAAATAAGATCTGTGGTCAGCATGACTGGCTGGGAAGAGGATGTTATCGAGTTACTGCATATCCTCACGAGTAAGCCGACCCTTAAATTTTTAACCAAAATACCGTGAAAAATGCACCACCCAGAGATAAGCCGACCCGCATTTTTCATGGCATTTTGGTTAAAAATTCAAGGGTCGGCTTATCCATCCGTATAGTGATTCTCAACCTTGGACACTTTAAGATGGGTGGACTCCAACTCCCAGAATCCCCCAGCCAGCATGGGTGGACTCCAACTCCCAGAATCCCCCAGCCAGCATGGGTGGACTCCAACTCCCAGAATCCCCCAGCCAGCATG